CACACACACACACACACACACACACACACACACACACACACACACACATTCCATCGATAGGATGAGCACAAACGGAATGAATCTTCCGCTGAAACGTGGAAATATACACTGCCACTTTTTTAGCAAAATTGGAATGAATCATTCGTGTGTGTGTGTGTGTGTGTGTGTGTGTGTGTGTGTGTGTGTGTGTGTGTGAGAGAGAGAGAGAGAGAGAGAGACGATAACTCTGCGACCTCGCAGCTCGCGCCATGCTACTTCCATCGATAGGATGAGCAACATCCAATGAATCTTTGGCTAGAACATGGAAACATACACTACCTGGTTGAATTTTCGTTACGGAATGGTGCATCACGCGCAGTCCCGCGGCCACGAAACACAGCACCGGCATCACACGCGGCCGGTCGTGATCCACCCTCCGCAGCCAGAATGCGCCGCACCGCCGTGACGGGTACCCCCATGACGCCGAACCGTCCCATACATTATGGAATGGCGCATCACGCGCGGTCCTGCCGCGGCACCCTTTGCCCTCAGTCCCACTCAGGCCGTTGGCCTTCCAACAGATTTGCACCTCCCAAAATTCTCGTCCGCGATCCCGCGGCACCCTTCGCCCTCAGTCTCGCTCGGACCGTCGCGGCCTCCATACAGATTTCCGCTGGGCCCAGCACAGGGCGTTACGGTGGGCCCGTTGCAATTTTTATAAGGTATAGAGATTATTATTATTATTATTATTATCATTATTATTATTATTATTGTTATTATTATTATTATTATTATTATTATTATTATATTATTATTATTATTTTACTATTAGTATTATTATTATTATTATTAATTGTTTGAACATTGAGAGGAGGAAAAAAGGAGGAGGAGATTGGACTGGCGAGAAGAAGGGGAATTAATAATTATCATTGGTCTTTGCAGGTGTACATCTTCTTCTTCTTCCTCTTTCCCTCTCTCTCCTCTAAGTTCATTCATTTCTTTTGCAATTGGACGGCTTTGTGCTTTCTCATGAATTTGTACTTCAAAATTGGCAAGGATTGTAACAATGTTAGGGAAAAGGCAAAGACAGGTAAGGTGACCAGGGGCCTCGTCCCTCTAGCAGCGTCAAGTTCCCTCAACGCCCGTATGTGTGTTTGTCAAGATGTGTGGTCGAGGAAACTCGACACGATTTCTGCCTAACTCCACAAACGCGTCCAGATTCGGGTGTTGAGGAAACTTAACGCTGCTAGTGGGACGAGGCCCCAGGTATCGCTCATGCCTCTCTTTTTTTTTCCTTTTTGTTTGGGCTGGATTTCCCGGGCACGACTCCATCAACCTGGATTTCTCGGGAGGCCAAATTGATGCACAAATGTTTTTTCCCACCTTTCAAAACCATCCCTCTTTTTTGTGCCGAGGCCGAAAAGAACCTCCGAGCCTCCTTTCTAGCGAGGCGGGAAAGAACAATGTGCCAAGCTTTGCTGAAGCGCTAGAGCCTAGTGGGTTTTTTTTTTTTTTTTGGCTGGTGCCACGAGCCGGCGGTGGGTGTGGATGCCCAAAAGGTGGTGGTGGTGGTCTAAACCAACACTGTTGCAGATAAGTACCACCGTTGGGGTCTGTGCATGAGGGGTCCATAGATTGGACAGATGCTAGAAAGGGTGATAAAAGCACATCCACCAGGCCGGATGCTACCGTCTTAACCCGAAAACAAGGTACATACCTTGTATTCGAATACAAGATGCGCACCTTGCAGATGAATTTTAGGATGCAACTTTCCTAGGCAAGGGGAAAAAAAAAAAAAAAAGTATATAGTGAATATTAGTACTAATATCACGAATAGAAAACCTGAAGTTCTTTTAAAAACAAACAAACAAACAAACAAACAAACAAATAAACAAACAAACAAAACAAACAAACAAACAAACAAACAAACAAACAAACAAACAAACAAACAAACAAACAAACAAAACAAACAAACAAACAAACAAACAAACAAACCAACAAACAAACAAACAAACAAACAAACAAACAAACAAAACAAACAAACAATGACTGCGCTGCGTGCTCACCATCTGGTATGCATTCAAACGTTACATGTGTTCGAGTGTGTGTTTGTGTATGAGAGAGAGACAGAGAGAGCATAGCGCCCGTGTGTGGAAGCAGCTGCGTGCGTGGACACCGCACCCTAGAGAGAGAGAGAGAGAGAGAGAGAGAGAGAGAGAGAGAGAGAGAGAGAGAGAGAGAGAGAGAGAGAGAGAGAGAGAGAGAGAGA